GAAAAGCTGTATTATAAAAAGTTTGTTTGAAAAGCTTTATTATAAAAATCTTTTTTGTCAAGCTTTATTATGAAAAAAAGCTCTTTGAAAGCTTTATGTAAAAAGTCTTTTTGAGAAGCTTTATTATAAAAAGCCTTTTTGGAAAAGCTTAATTATAAAAAGTTTTTTTTTTGGAAAGTTTTATTATAAAAACCTATTTTGAAAAGCTCACTTACGAGCTTTTTTACTAATTTATTTTCACCAGAGATGTTTTAATTACAAAAGCTTCTTTATTAATTTTTTTCAAAATTATTTCTCTTTGCAGATGATGACGAAGAGGAGGAGGAATATGAAGAGGAACACAATGATCCTGATTATCGGGGTTAAGACATTTTTTCTAGTTGTAAGTAAGTTATTATTTTGTAATTACAAATAAGTTGAATATTATTGTAAAATATCAAGCTAAAAAAGAATAAATTGTGTTTAAAAGTTAAACAATTTTCCACAAAATATAAAACAAATTTATTTATTTTTTATAGTTTATTAAACTCAAAACTTTTAAGTTAACATATTACACCATTAAACCGTTCTCGCAGCTATTTCTTAATACAGATTTTTTTTACAAATTTCTTAAACCAATTAATAAAAAGTGAGAAAAAATGCTTAAAATACTAAATAACGCGTACTTTACAATATTTACTGATTTAAATGTTTGAGAGCATATTCGTGGGCTTTGTCCATGGCAATTTCTAATTGTTCATCAAATTGTGTTGATTGTGTCTTCTTACCCTTCATATTGCAAACTTCATGAGGATTTTGACCCTTAGGTGCGGCTACTTGAGATTTGAAAATTGTGGCAAATGCTTTCAGCCATTTTTCGGCATTAAAGTTTTCAGATTGAAATTGCTTGGGAACACAACATCTGGCTTTAACAATATTATCACTACGGCTTATAACTAATATAGGACGATCGGTACAAAGTTTTGTGGCCTTCTGTAGGGGTACCTCTTCCATTAAAGCTGAACTAGAGATATAGTGTAAAATAAATGGATGTGTGTCCAAAGGTTTCTCTTGCAAAACATTACGCATTTCAACTTCTACTAATTCTCTAAAATTAGAAAAAAATTACACTAATAAATTAAAGAAAATGTTAATAAATTTCCAACTTACTTTATACTCGTTCTGGCTGCCTCCTTTAATTTCTTTAAGATTTCATTTATACGCTCCAGCATGTCCATTTTAAAAACATACGGCAATTGTATATCCATGTGTAGGAGATTGTGTCGGATCTTTTGCAATTCTATTTCTGTGGCATTTGAAAGTTTATCAGTCTTAAATTCTTTTTCCAACATATCAATACGATGTTTTAATAAGGCAGCCACTTTAAATACCTAAAAAATAAAACTATTATTTATTAAATGTTGTTTCTTATAGTGTATTTTCGAATTACTTTATCTGCCGCTTCTCCGGCCACCGCTGTAAAGGCATATCTAGCACGATTTGTTTGCTTAAGATTTGTTATACAAAAATATTCTAATTCCTGAGTGTTGGTAACATGTGTTCCACAGCACAATTCTTTTGAGAGCATTTCTAAGTTATCACAATTTACGCTAACCAAACGTAAACCTGTTTCGGGATAAATTTCTCCCGGCACCATTGTTACATCGTTTTGTTGTAAAATATCAGCGGCATTACAGAGCTCGACATTAACGGGAGTTGATGAGGAGATTACTTGGCTATACATTAGAAAATACATTGTTAGATGAGCTTTTTTCATAACAAGATATTTTTGGGAAAGCTTTTTTTCTTTTAAAGAAGCTTTTTTCTGGAAAAATTTTTATTTAAAAAGTTTTTATAGAAAGCTTTCTTCTGTTAAGCTATTTTTGTCTGAAAAGTTTTTTTATAAAGTCTTTATGGAAAAAGTTTTTATGTAAAAAGCTTTCTTCTGAAGTGTTTTTTGTAATAAGCTTTCCTTTGAAGAGTTTTTTGTATGAAGCTTTCTTTCAAAAAGTTTTTATTAGATTTTTTTTTAAAAGCTTTTTATTATAAGTATTTTCAGTAAAGCTTTAATAAGCCTTTTCTGTAAAGCTTTAATAAGCTTTTTCTGTAGAGCTTGCATAAGCTTTTTCTGTAAACCTTTCATAAGTTTATTCTGTAAAGCTTTCGTAAGCTTTTTCTGTAAAGCTTTCATACGAGTTTCTTCTGAATAGCTTTTTCATAAGAAGCTTTTGTTTATAAAACATTCATATATATACCTAATAAGTTCCTCTATTTTCTGCACATCATCCTTGGTAATACGTTTACCAATTAGCCCCACCTCCAATTTACAACAATCACTTGTTACTCCACTAGACACCTGATAAGTGACCTTGTTAAACAATGATCTTATAGCGCCATTTAACAAATGAGTAGCTAAAATATATTGTTGTTTAAATATGTCCAAAAGTTATCATTCATTTCCTTAACATACCTGTATGATGACATATATTCCTCTTACGATGCTGAGCATCCACCTGCAACTCTACCTCATCACCAATGCCCAAAGTAAAGAAAGCCTTTTCAGGCGGTAGATCACAGGTATGTACCACACAATCATTGATAAAACGAACATTGTTAACTTTAAGTTCGTATTGTTCATTCGTTTTAGTTTTTATAACAATTACTCCCTTATCGGATTGCTGGCCACCCGATTCATAATAGAAATTACTGGCATCGGTAACAATTGAAACTATATCTTGGCTGTTTGTAATGCCATTACAAACCACCTCCTGGACACTAACATCATTGTAAAGTATACCCAAGACTTTAGTTTTTAGTGCGGGTATAAGGTACTGTTTTTCATTATTGTCATAACTGTAGTTATATTTATGTTGATTATCAGTGGCTTTTAGAGTTTTAGTTAAATCCACTAAAGAATCATTTATACTTTGCAAAAGTTTGTCTGAATATTGATTTGAATGCATAGAACCTTTTGCCTTTTGTTTGGCCTTCGCCACAGCCTCCTGATAATCTGCCACATTGTAGGACATTTCCTCTAATTGAGCCAATTTTTCAAAATGTTCCTCGGTTAAACCATAAGTATCGGTTAGTTTGTGTAGAAAGTCTCCTGGTATAATGTTGTTCTTAAAGGTATCTTTTAAGGTTTGAAATTCCCGATAGGCAGGCACAAAACCGGGACATTCCATTAAATCAATATCCTCCAAATTGGGAAATTCACTAAGTACCTCGGCAAAAGCTTTAGAAGAACTTTCACGCAAAGCCTTAAAGATCTCCTGTTCATGGGCTATTAGTTCCAAAATGGCCGATTGTTTATTGGATATTTCGGGATAGGCGCAACCCAATGATTCTACCACTACCGGTATTAATTGGGGAAGTAATTTTTCATTAGCGAAAACGCTTTCGGAAACTGTCAAAGCCTTACGCAGGACACGCCTAAGTTTTTGACTGAAATGAGAGTAAAAATATTTAAATAATATGTTTATTGCTAAAAGTTTTGTTTATACCTACTTTTGATCTGGTAACATACCATCTGCTAGGCACACTGTAATCATGCGCGCATGATCTGCCAAAATTCTATAGCCTGTATCTAAAGTAGCTGCATGTGAATTGGAGGGAAATGTGCCACCGTATTCAGGTGCTTTTGATATCTATTATGAAGTTTTTTAGGGGTTTATTTAATAATAAGTTTCTTTTTGTTTTCAATTACCTTTTGTATGGCATCAAATATGGGCATAAATAAATCTGTATCATAGTTGGAGGACTTATTTTGTAAAATTGCTGTCAGTCTCTCAAAACCCATGCCGGTGTCAACATGTTTGGCGGGCAATTGTGTTATAGAACCATCTTCATTACTAGAATGATTAAAAATATGGAAGAAAAACCATTTGGCAGACTCCTGGTGTCTACTACTGATTCACAACTTACCGATTATATTGTATAAACACTAGATTCCATAATTCTGTTAAATCTGAACGTCCCGCATTGACCAGCTTAGCACGTTCCTCCGGCGAAGCTAAATCCGGACGATGATCTATATGAATTTCTGTACAAGGACCACAGGGTCCTGTAGAACCCATTTCCCAAAAATTATCTTTACTACCAAAAGGTAAAATGCGCGAGGAGGGGAAACTAAAAAACATTTCAATAAATAAAAATAATTCAATCCTGCATCAACAACTTACCCCAAACTTTTCCATATTTCAAAACATTCCAAATCGGCGGGCAAACCCAAAACCTTATCGCCAGCAAAGTAAGTGACATATAAACGAGAGGTATCAATATTATAAGGACCCCTAAGTAAATCCAAAGCCATGGAACAAGCCTCTCTCTACAAAAATACAAAACTTTAATACAATTTTTCATTTATTATAGATTTTCATGTAATACCTTGAAATAATCACCAAAAGACCAATTGCCCAGCATTTCAAAGAAAGTATGATGATAACTGTCCTCTCCCACGACAGATAAATCATTATGTTTTCCTCCCACTCTAACGCATTTCTGGGAATTGGCCACTCTTTTGTATGGGGGTTGAGTGGTACCCAAAAATACCGATTTAAACTGTTGGAAAAATAAAATTACTAACTTAAATAATATGCATTTGCTTTAATATCTACCTGATTCATGCCCGCATTAACAAACGCCACAGTAGGATCACAAAACGGCACCACCGGACTGGAACGTACAAATTTGTGATCATGTTGTTTGGTGAAGTAGTCAATAAATGTTTTACGTATTTCTCGTGAGGATAAGATTCTTTGTAGCTTTTTAGCAGAGGAATACATGTTTAAGAAATTATTTAATCTATAAATATGGTTTAATTAATTATCCTCCAATAGCCGGTGTTTTTTATTGCATTAAAATTTCTTCTTCGTTCTGGGGAATTGCAAATTGTCAAGTTTTCTCTCTCATGAGATATTTTATATAACAGATGATTTTTATGTCAATCACAATAGCAAATGTTAGAATAAATGAGTTACCAACTATTTGTTTGTTTGTTTATATTTATTTTATTTTTTTTTCATTTGACAGCTGTTCAATGTAAACATGTGCGACGCCACGGACAAACCGATTTCGGAAGAAGCCACTTTAGAGGACACCGACGTTAAGCGACCAAAATTTGGTAATCGTTTTCTAACTAAAGAAGATGATGTCTTTACGCACAATGCTTGGTAAATATCGAAAACAAGTGGGTTTTATTATAAACATCTCTCAAAAAGCTGGTGTCTTACATAGAAATCGTTCTCAAATAAAAGACTGGGAATTTACGCGTCATCGTAAGAAACCAGCAGGAGGAGGTCGTGTCTTAACAAATACCCAAGACTTGTATAATTTTAATGCATGGTGCGTGATCGTAAGAAAATTTTAATTAAAATATTTTAACTATTTCGTTTTAGGGATAATGTTGAATGGGATGAGGAGCAGGAACAACAAGCCTTACAGGCGGTAGCTAAAAATTCCACTGTCAAAATGCCCGAAACAGATAAAGTGAAATTTAAAAGCGAAGCCGATAGATTTTGGGATTCATTTTATGGTGTGCACCAAAATAGATTCTTCAAAGATCGCCATTGGCTATTTACAGAATTCCCCGAGCTGGCTCCAAAACAGGATACGCCCGAACCTAGAAGTATATTTGAACTGGGCTGTGGTGTGGGCAATACTATATTGCCAATTTTGAAATACAGTCAAGAACCCGAACTAAAAGTATATGGCTGTGATTTTTCCGCCACAGCTATAGATATCTTTAAAGCTGATCCTCTCTACGATGCCAAACGTTGTGAGGTCTTTGTTATGGATGCTACTTTAGATGAATGGCAGGTTCCCTTTGAATTGGAATCCCAAAATATAATTGTTTTGATCTTTGTTTTATCGGCCATAGAGCCGCAAAAAATGCAACGTGTGGCAGAAAATTGTTATCGTTATTTAAAGCCCGGTGGTCTGTTGTTATTTCGTGATTATGGTCGTTATGATTTGGCTCAGTTACGCTTTAAAAGTGGCAAGTGTTTAGAGGATAATCTGTATGTACGTGGTGACGGCACTATGGTGTATTTCTTTACCCAGGAAGAAGTGCGGAATTTGTTTACAAAAGCCGGTTTTGTGGAGGAACAAAATGTAATTGACAGACGTTTGCAAGTGAATCGAGGACGTATGCTGAAAATGTATCGGGTGTGGATACAGACAAAATATAGGAAACCGTTCGAGGAAAATAAGTAAGATTTTGGAAAGTCATCAATGAAAAAATTATAAAATGTCCACAAATATATTGTATTTAGAAAATTTAATAAACTATGACAACTTTTACTTTTGCTACAAAATCTTGAGATTCGTGGTTGACTTTGAGCTACCTACAAATCTAATCGACGAACGTTAGTAGCTAAGATCTACCTCTGATCGAAAACGAGCTATCGAAGCGATAGAGCGAATCTAGCGACCGAGACGAATAGGACATCGACGATCTATCTATCATATCTTCGATCTAGCAGCGAGGGAGCGAGGGAGCGAGCGAGCGAGCGAGCGAGCGAGCGAAGCGAGCGAGCGAGCGAGCGAGCGAGCGAGCGAGCGAGCGAGCGAGCGAGCGAGCGAGCGAGCGAGCGAGCGAGCGAGCGAGAGAGCGAGCGAGCGAGCGAGCGAGCGAGCGAGCGAGCGAGCGAGCGAGCGAGAGAGCGAGCGAGCGGCGAGGAGCGAGCGAGCGAGCGAGCGAGCGAGCGAGCGAGCGAGCGAGCGAGCGAGCGAGCGAGCAAGCGAGCGAGAGAGCGAGCGAGCGAGCGAGCGAGCGAGAGAGCGAGCGAGGGAGCGAGCGAGAGAGGAGCGAGCGAGGAGCGAGCGAGCGAGCGAGCGAGAGAGCGAGGGAGCGAGCGAGCGAGCAGCGAGCTAGCGAGCGAGCGAGCGAGCGAGAGCGAGCGAGCGAGAGAGCGAGCGAGCGAGCGAGCGAGCGAGCGAGCGCGCGAGCGAGCTAGCGACTATCGAGTCTATCTATCTATCTATCTATCTATCTATCTATCTATCTATCTATCTATCTATCTATCTATCTATCTATCTATCTATCTATCTATCTATCTATCTATCTATCTATCTATCTATCTATCTATCTATCTATCTATCTATCTATCTATCTATCTATCTATCTATCTATCTATCTATCTATCTTCTATATAGTATTTATTCTACAGAAAATAAATATGAACATTAAATGTCCATTAAAATTGTTTGGTATAATAGTTTCTTTATAGAAAATGTTCTGTTCCAAATTTTCTTTATCTTAGGGCGGGTTTTTCAGATAAAGATAATATACATTCTTTTGTTTTAAACCTAGTTTAATATATGTTTTGTGTTTTTCAATAAACAGTAACGTTACTTATTATCTTAGTTTAACTGAGTGTTATTGGCCAATTAAACTTAAGTTATAATTGAGAAGACATAATTAACAAAAACAATAAAACAATGATTTCGGAAGAACAAAAACTTAATATTTTAAGTAAATTGAAATTTTCTGATTTGTTTTGTTTTATTTATTATTGTTTTAAATGTTTATTTAACATTTTTCCAAAATTTTTCATTTTACAAAAGTATTATTTGCAAAAAACAGCTGTTCATTGTTTATGTTTTTGAGTGAAAAGTTGGCAATACTAACAAAGTTAACTGAACTTAAATCCATAACTGAAAAACACAATCATCGGTTAAAGTCCGTCTAACTTTGTTCCGAGTTTAATATAACAGCAAGTTAAGCCTAGTTTAACTGAGTAGTAAGAAACCCGCCCTTAGAGGTTTCTCCTTATTGAGTACTCTGCCAACAAAAAAGTACCATTTACTTATTTAAATAACAAAACACAACATAATTTCCCAACCCTGTCACTTAACCTAAAATACGAGTTACCAACTTTCACATTTCCACACAGTTGTATTATCTAGTATTATGATAAATCAACCATTAGAGAAGATAAAATTTACAACAAAAATTAGTTTATTGAGCGAATTACAAGGAAAAACACCTTGTTACGGATATAACGCCCTATGCGAAACGAATTTTTGTGTGATTTATATGAAAGAAAAAAAAAATTCCACACACACATAAATTGAAGTGATGAATTGTGTATATTTTATTAAAAATATAAAATAAAGTATTGCGAAAATAAATTAAAAAAGTTAAACAGCATTTTATACGTATAACAAGCGCTACAAAAAGTGTGAGTGGAGTTTTTGAGAATGTAAGGAATCAAAAAATATATTTAGCAAAAAAGTGGTACTGGAAAATGGTGTTGTCTGCAAGATTTTTTCCATTTCTATAACACAAAGTAAACTTTTTTTCTCGGCTACAACTTTGTGCAAGTATTTAGAGCAGAGAAGTCAACTATTATTGAAAAGAAATAAGAAAAATTGGAAAAACCTACAAAATTTTAGCAAAAATATATATAATATAAAATAACAAAAAAGTGAAAAGCCATCTTAACATTAATGCTATGAATTAAAAACAACAACAAAAATTAATATACATAAATAAAAAAGCAAATATAAAAAGTGAAATACATAAATAGTAAACAAAGTTAATTTAAAGCAAATTATTAAACTAGTGGAAAATAAATATATAAAACATATTTAAAAATATATATTTATACATTTTTATATATTGCTGAAATGGAAATATAGTTTTTTTATGTGAATTGTGCAATTTTTTTAATGGTCGCAACTAGATTTTTTTTCATCATAAAACTAATACAAAAAAAATAATAAAAAAATTGGCAACGCCATTGTTATATTGACGTCAGCAGAGACAGAATTTTTTAGGAGAAACAGAGAGTAGTCAATAGTTTTTCTTTACTCTCTTATGATAATTTTATCTTAAAATAAAAATTCTTTTTAACCGGTTTCTTCTTTTATGCAATTTAAGTGCATTTTTGTGTTCAATTCTTTTTTGTATTGAATTTTCTAAAATAATTAATTTTAAGTAATTAAATTGGAAATAATATTACATTACCTTTACCTGTTTCTTTAATAACCGTTTATGCTCTCACCTACCTGTATATGTTTGTTTTTTTCTTCCTTTTGTTTTTCCTTTTTTTTTCTTTATTACTTTATTGTTTGTATTCGTTTTTTACTTTGAATTATTAATGATTCATTTTCTTAACATTTTTTATGTTATTTATAAAAAAATCTTCTGTCTCTGTTTGTCGTTTCGTTAAAAGAGTGTGTGTGTTTTACAAGTTTTAATTGTATTTTAATGTCTATTTGCATTTTTCTATTTATAAAATTTATTTGAAGTGTATTGTGTTTTTTGCTGTCTTTTTTCTCTCCTTTTTAATTGTTGTTATTTTGTTATTGTTCTAGTTTTTGTTATTAAAGTGTTGCCAACTATTTTAATATTATAATTAAATAAAACAACGACTAAACAAAGTTCATCTTGAAACTATACAATTGTGCAAAAATTTAACAAAATTTGACTGTGGATTACAAAATATTTGCTTTTCACAGCTTTTATAACATTTATTTGGATACTATTGACACGAAAAATTTTTAAAACTGGCGGAAGAAACAGCAGAAAATTCCAACATGAGTTGGGGTACTGAATTATGGGTAAGTTTTATTTAGCAATTACCTATTTCCATACCAAAATTTTGTTATTTAGTTAATTTTTATGTTACAATCTACTTAAAATGCAAATTATTATTTAGTTTTATTGACCAGCAGTTTTGTAGGGCTTCACCTTTTGCAGGGAATCATTTTCTGAGGAAAAAATATTCCGCATTCTATAATATTGACAATCCAAAGTTTTGGTAGGGCAAAGGGTTAGTTTCAATTTTGGTTCCATTGAACAAATAATACTTTTTGATTTGGATTAGTTCGGTTCTAGTTTTAGTTCAGTTCCAGTTCAGTTCTAGTTCAGTTCTAGTTCAGTTCTAGTTCAGTTCTAGTTCAGTTCTAGTTCAGTTCTAGTTCAGTTCTAGTTCAGTTCTAGTTCAGTTCTAGTTCAGTTCTAGTTCAGTTCTAGTTCAGTTCTAGTTCAGTTCTAGTTCAGTTCTAGTTCAGTTCTAGTTCAGTTCTAGTTCAGTCTAGTCAGTTCTAGTTCAGTTCTAGTTCAGTTCTAGTTCAGTTCTAGTTCAGTTCTAGTTCAGTTCTAGTTCAGTTCTAGTTCAGTTCTAGTTCAGTTCTAGTTCAGTTTCTAGTTCATTCTAGTTCCGTTCTAGTTCAGTCTAGTTCAGTCTAGTTCAGTTTATTCAGTTCTAGTTCAGTCTAATTCAGTTCTATGTTCATTAATCATCTGCTGATACATCCACTGAGGACTATAAATCATATGTAAAATGGTCAAAGGTAATGAAGATTTTCGAACTCTTGTATGAAATTTAAAAAATAATAATAGTGATTTTTTATATGTATTTATTAACAGTTTTTTCTTAACATTTTAATATCACCACGTTTTGTTTATTGCTATTTCTTTTTCTCTTTCCAATTCTTTTTAGTATGAAAATCTTACTTATTTATACATTAAAATATGTTAAAGCTTATTTAATTTGTATTTTGTTTTTTCCTTAAGATTTTTTCATTTCATTTCAAAACCAACTTTGTCGTCTCTGAACTGGTTTTACGAGTTTTATGTAAATTTATTTCTACTCCGACTGTATTTCTTAATGTTTGAATATTTTGTATGTTTTTGTTTGTTTGTACATACACGCTTGTTAAAGCTGGCTTAAACCTGGCTCTAACTCATATGCTGTGAATGATTTATAAACATGGAAAAAAATAATTCTTTTAGAGAGAGAAAAGTAAAAAAGCTAAGGAAATAAAAGGCTTTTTTAAAGACTTCTAAAAACGGCAGCTGTTTCATTTGTAAAATAAATTTTGAATTTCTACAACTAGCAACTACCTTAGATTGCATCATTTTATGACTATAGCTTATCATTCAACTGACACCACCCCTACTTAGTAAACAAAAGTTTATACTTATTTATGTTTAATGATAAACCCCTATTTCCTGGTCAAAAATTTTAAATTCCTTACATATAGAATGTTTTTAACAAGAATTACTTTGGTTAACTCTCTATCAAATTCAAAATCTCTTTTCTGTTTTGGCTTAAGGGTAGTTTCATTGTATTTCTCCTTCATAGTCGTCCTCTATGCTGTAGTATTCCCTTGATGTACATGTGTTTTGCTTAATTTTTGTTCTTTTTTTTTTCATTCATCATTTAATTTTTCTTTCCTTTTTTGATGTCTAGACTCTTTTGATTTGTTAATTTTTTTCTTAAAAAATTTTGCTTGTTGCATTTAAAAAATTGTTTGACTTTTGAGGTTAAATGTGTTTTTTATTTTCGCAATTTGT